GGGTAAGATGGCGGCCGTGGTCCGGGCCGCGGGGCTCGGGCCTATCGGGGTGGGCGGGGCGGAGTCGGTCGCTAGTAGTCCTGCGGTCCTCCCCACACGCCGCGGGGCCTGAAGGGCTTAGCGGGGCGGCCTCTAGCAGGGCCCCGGCGGCGGAACCCGACGCCGAACGGGGGGCCCTCTCAAGGCCCCAGGACGCGTCTGTGGGTGCCGGGGGCATCTGCGGGGCGTCCCCGTGAGAACTGGCGACGTCCACAGGGCCTGGACCGAGACTGGCGCCTGCCCTCCATCATAGAGCTGGCTTGGGCCATTTCTGTAGGCACTGTTGATCGTCTTTTCGGGCTGACCGGAGGCTAGGGTCTGTTCAGAGGGTTCTGGGGCCATCTTGAGATCTTGAGATATGTCCCAGGGGTGAAGGAGGTTTGCAAAAGCTGAGGACTATCTGCAGAGCCATCTGTAGCTCTGGGGTATGTCTGTTGGGGCTGGGAAGTGTCTACATGGACTGACCTGAGGATGCCAGTCACCTACATGGGTCTGGGGCCATTTAGCGGACCTGGAAGAACTGTTCCTGGGTTAGGAAGTCTTTTAGGGGTGGGATGTGCCCACCAAGGGAGGGAGGCAAATATTGAGATGTGCTGAAAGGCCTCGATGGCTCTTCAACGTCTGGGGAGTGTCTAGTCTGAGTGACAGGAGGCTGGGGGCAGTTAGAAGGACCTGGATCCATCTCCGTGGTTTTGAGTGTACCTGCAAGAGTGCATGCAGTCTCTATGCCTGGAGCAAATTCGAATGCCTTTTTGGGCCAGATAATCAGATGGAGAATAAGACAAAGGAGAGTATTGGGAAATACACGGAACTCAAATATACTTGCACCTTAGAAGGTAATTCAAATGAAAAATGTTTTAAAAGTCTGCATTACGCTCTAGAGAGTTAGAATTAGTCCACGTTAGTCTGGGAAAGTCTATAGGGTCACCTAGACATATAGTGCAGTGCTTTTCAAACTCTTTTGACCTTGATCTACAGTAAGAAATACATTTTTCATTGAGACCCAGTACCTACCAACATATATTTAACTAATACCCATGTCCCATTACTACTTGCACATACCGTGAAGAATTTTCTACTGTGTTCTATTTCCTTTTTATAACAAGCTATTTGTGAAGCACTATACTGTTATCAGGGGGAATCAATGTCTGCAGAGCCTTCTCATGTCAAAAAAATTTAAGAAGCCATTGGTATGTGTGTCTGCAGAGCCTGGAGCATGTCTGAATGGGCAAGGGAGTATCTTTGGACCCACAGAGGGTTTGGGATCTGTGTCTGTAGTCAGCAGGTCTTGATTAAGCTTCTGTTATGTGACAGTCATGGTAGGTTGTGCTTCCCCCCCTGGAGATGCTGGGAACTGTCCTTAGGGCCTTATCAGGGCGGGTGTCAATGGGGAGTTAGGGAAGGAGCCTCAGGCTCTTAGAGAGCTGGGAAGCTGCATGGGGGAGCTTTGGCAAAGCTTGAAAATCTGGTCGGAAGCAGACCAGGGCAGAGGTCTTTTCTTTGCAGGCATGCAGTGGGGAAAGGGGGAGACAGGTGTGAGGGAAAACTGGGTCCTAAAGGCCAATAATAATATGATAATTATTGTTACTCTGTACTGAGCACTGGGGTTGAGCAAACTGTGGCAGAAGCAACTCTTCAGTTCTCGCCGCTGTTCCTTGAGGTACAGACTCTGATTGTGCCATGTTCAGACAAGCACCCCGAGTTGTGGGTTAGGGGTTTGAAGCCTTCTAGGAAATTTGAGGCTGGGTATTGTTTCATA